TGGAGCTGGATCATATCATTTTTGATATTATTGGACTTGTTTCATTTAGATATTCTAATAGACCATAAGTTTATTGAAATCAGAATACAAAATGCCTAGTAATTTAATTCTAAACGAAACGCAAGGGGGAAAAAAGCCAACTTAATTGGAGGCCCAAAGTAGGTTTTGGACCTAATATAGTCCATTAACTTAGAATTGGCGCCGCTTTGGTAAAAGAGAATTATGGGCTTTAAAATTATTTGACAAATTTTGAGATTAAGACTTCATTTGGTAAAATTTCTCTCCAGGTTTTAAAAATTGGACTGGACAACAAATCAAAAGAAGTAGTGATTCCCAGCTTGATCGGTTGATACCGGTTCGTCAAACCGAATGACATAATAAATAATAATATTATTAAAAATTATAAAATGAATAAAAAAATTTCTTCGAATACGATAATACATTCTAATTGTGCACATAATATGAAGTAAATAAGCAAAATATTATAACAAGATTATAACACTTTACACCAATTGATAAGAAAAAAGATAACACATTCATAATACATATATGAAGCTAATAATGTTTCTTTCATAATTCAATAGTTTTAATAATGTAAAAAAAAGAAAATCAAATATCGAGCTTAGTAGCTTACAGACAAATTTTATGATCACAATTGAACCTGCCAGTACGGTGCGATTTTGAAAACCTTGATTTTTCTCATACTTTCTAAAGCTAGCAAAAAAAATTTAGTTAAGAAATTTTTGTATTAAAAATTATTTAAAAAAACAGTAAAATAGCTTTGTCTCGCACACTTATGTGTAGGACATTGTAGGGTTTTTCGTAATGATTGTTCATATTTGTGGACACCAAATAGAGTTACAATCGAGCTAAGCCAAGCACGCTAAAATTTTGATTTGATTTGATCATACTATAAGTTGTTCATATTATTCTTAAGCTCGAAGTTATGTTTCACACACACACATACATATGGACTAGGCGCAAAGGCAAAAAAGAATCGAAGAAAGGTCAAATCTTAATGAATTGTATAGGTTTTATTTGGAATCACTTTTATTTTATAAAAAATGTGCTTTTTTAAAACTTTTTATTTTGATTTTAAAAAAATCAATTTATTTTTTAAATGGTCAAAATAAGTTTGAGCTTCTTTTTTTTAATTTTTAAAAATAAATATTATCATAAAATTATGGTCACTACCAAAATAATTATTGTTGTTGCCTTGTCGGGGACCACCGCCACCATAATTTCAATAAACTTATTTAATATTCAATAAAATAACATGTTTTTAAGATATAAATATCTTTTATTTTATGTGAAAACATGAAAAAATAAAAATAAAAAAAAACACAGGTTGTTTGGGTCTTTTTTTTTTTTCATTATATTCTAACATAAAATAAAATATATTTTGATATCTAAAAAGCATATTATTTTTATTTTTATTGAATAATCTATTTAAACGATTATAGTGGTGGTTATTATAGCACATAGTATCAATGGCTGATGGTGATAATCATTTTTAGAAAATCTCAAATACTTAGTATCTGGAGTGTTATTAAAATAACATGATTTATTTTTAAAAAAATATTATAAAAATAATTAAAATACACTTGATATATCATCAAAAAAATTATCTTGATTGGGCACTAATCTTGAGGCAAAATTGTGTTGAAAGCTTCCAAAATTAAATATGGGAGCATTCAAACTCTAATTTCAACAAACTTACAGTCGAACTGATCATCTCAAAAAGCCAAACCTAATCACACCAAATTTGACTTAATATGATCCCAAATGAGTCTAAATCAAAGACCTGCACGTATTTAAAAGGTTCAAACTATAAATTAGATGACAAAACGGTTTCCAAACACGACATGCTTATAGTCGAATCAAGCGGCTCGACGAAACAAATCCAACAAGCCTAAGATCGCCAAATTCTAATATCATTAAGACATTCAAATTCCGAGCAAATGGTTCACAATCAAGGGGATCAATATCGGTCATCCATTCAAACCATTCTAAGCATACCTTTGATTTCCCTCATATTTACTGGTCATCTCACTCTCAACGAACTATATATAGATCCCTCATTCCTTATGAAAAATGGGAACCCTGGTTCCTCATGAAAATGGGAGGAAAGCGAGGAAGAGCATGAAGAGAGAGAAACTAGAGTTCTTTTGCCACCTCACTCCTCCTAGCCATTATCGGACCATCGACCACCGCTGAACTATCACCGAACTTTTGTTCGGCCACCAATTGATGTCGGACTTATGTCTGACCACCGACTAATGTTAGAATTCCACCTGACCATAGACAACGGTTGTTTTGCCCGGCCACTGTTGCCCGTCGACTGCTGTTCTTCTGAACTCCATCGCTAGTAATGGTCTTTCTAACCACAATCGCTCGTAGATTACAGACTTTCCGACCTTCATTGCCCGTCGATCGACTATGATCCTTCCGACCACCATCACCCGATTACAGTCTTTTCAACCTCCATCACCCGCTGACTATGATCTTGCCGACTAAACGAACATGTCAATATTGATTTGTTCTAATTCCTGTCATGTAATGCACTCAATATTTGCTACATCAAACTAAGTCATGCCCCCCAAGGAAGGGCCTCATTTGTAATTGACTGCAAACACTAGTTCATTCATTCAAACTAGGCGAGATCCTATGATTTTTTTCCCTTTTTAGAGATATGTGCATAAAAATTCTGATGTCTCTTATGAATGTTACACCCTCTCTTTTATATGAGTGTGTGATGGATCTTCGTATAAAGCTAAGACATTTAATTTTATATTTTTCTATCGCCGTGAATATCCCATGATGCAACAACACTAAACAAATCTATTTTAAAAAATAGTAAATAATAAATAAAGTTGATCACAAATAAACCCAAAATGATTCCTAATTACTTCCAAATAAAATTTAGATGAGTATTTTAAAATAGGTATTTTTACATAACTAACATGCAAAAGCTTCTCCGACAACTGTGGCCTCTTATTCGCTCGAGCAGATAGTGTTACCTTCTTCCCGCGTGAAAGCTCCGCCTTGTCGTGATACTCTTTCTTCTGCCCTCCCATTCCCTTGCCCTTGGGTTATTCGTTATTTCTTCAAAGTGGAAGTGGTTAATTTGTTTGGATTATTTCATCATCATTACCTGTGCTCTATACCATATTCTATACCAACCGATCAATGCTCCCACAAGAACTTCTCTCATTTTGATTCGTTTTGTTCACTTTGGCTAACTCATTTTGATTCACTTTTTCACATTTAAATCATTAATTATATGCACACATAGAAATGGATTCAAGTCATTTTCCATTGTTCTCAAAATTGGTGGATATTGAAATGAGGTTGAGGGTCAAGCTCAAAAATGAAGTATGTGGGTGGAAGTCAGAAAACCTTAAAGCTTCAAAAGAGACGAAATCAATTTGTTGTTGCTAAAAAATTGAGTTGAAGTGTTCTCGATTGGGTTGATAACAGATGGCGCAATAGTTTAGTTTTGATGGTGCAGTAGTTTAGTTTCAGTTTAGTTTTGTTTCGTATGATGGTGCAGTATTTTGGATTGATAGCTATGTGTCTTTGGAATAGGGAAATTTTGAAGTTTTTTTTTTTTTTTTTTTTTTTTTTTTTTTTTTTTTTTAATGCTAGCTCTATGTGTTATCAAATATTTGTAATAACGAATAAAATTCAATTTTATTTTACAAGAATTTCTACCGGCCTATATCCAAATTCTACCATAGAGTTTCGATCAGTTAAACATTTGCACTACTCTTTTCTATTCCTGAAGGGCTTCCAAATTCCTGACAGGCTTCCAACTTCCTGAAGGACTCCCTCATCTTTGGATGGTTTTAGTTTTCCTGTAGGTGAGCCGTGGAGAAGGCGAAGTGTGGTTGGATTGGAGAAGAAGAAGAGCAAACAACAACTAAGACATTCATATTGTGAAAAAAAAAAAAAAAAAATCAAAACCATCCTTCATTCACTAAATGGAAAACACGAAAAGCAAAACATGCAGATCGATCTTCAAACGCGACAGAGAAGATGCGAGGCCAACGGAAGATGCGGCGTGTGCGAAACCTTCCAACACGACCGAGAAGGCAAGGGTTTGGACGACGAGGACACTCTCTCGCGACCGAATGGAAGACGACACGTTATGGAGAAGGCAAGGATTTGGACGGCGATCGAAGACACTCTCTCGCGACCGAAGGGAAGACGACGCACGGATAAGGCTTTTTACACGGGGCTTAAACGACGTGAGAGAATAGATGAAAACAGGAGTTTTACGTGGTATATAAGTAAATATGATAGTTTGGATGTTGGACATGTATTTTTTATAATTTTAGGTATTATATATGTAAAAATCCTTTTAAAATAATGACGGTGCAAGTGCATTAATGTAAAAATAGTATTTAGTATATAAAAATTTCAAAAAATAATACTAACTATGTAATGCATGAATTTTTTCTTGGACATTTAGGCCAATTAAGGTAGAGTCATACACACATCGCATAAACAAGATTTGAATCTAAGACCTCTTAGTTGGTAGCCTATCAGATCAACATAGATACGCTGTGTCTAATACGGATTTTTATTTGGTTCGGTTGAGAGGATGCAAGAAGCATCCTCTCGGAGGACGTAATAATTGTTCGTCTAATACATGATTTTGACAAGACACACTCCACATGTGTGAATGCATGGCAAGACAACCGCTATGAGGGCTTGCTTTCTCTTCTCCCATACGAAACGGGCAACACAAATATTGTGTTTTTGGCTTTTTGCCACTCTAAAACCCCGTATTTTATTTATTTACAACGTAAATTAATTATTTATATTATCAACCACCAATAAAACTTCTGATTCTCACGTGCCGGACATTATAATCCTGATTAAAATACTTTTATATATTATATTTATATTTTAAAAATACTTTGTTTCACACGTGCGGGCGGTCTTAGGTGAGGAGAGGAAGGGTGTCACGTGAGGCGTGCGTGTGGGGTGTCTGCATGGATCGGCTCTCTTTTAACCCAAACGAGCTCTGCGACCGCTCTCGTTGGATCGATTACACCATGCTCCCCAGCGCCAACAAGCAGAAGGCGAAGCCGGCACGGGCGAGGGCGACGGCGGCGGGAAATTCATCGTCATCAGTGAAGGCGCCGTGCGGAGCTTGCAAGTTTCTCCGGCGAAAGTGCGTTAGTGGGTGTGTTTTTGCGGCGCACTTTGGGAGCGAGCAGGGAGCGCCGGCGAGGTTTTCGGCGGTGCATAAGGTATTTGGCGCCAGCAATGTCTCTAAGCTTTTGAAACTGGTGCCGCCGGCCCACCGCCACGACGCCGTCGTCACTGTCTGCTACGAGGCGCAGGCTCGGATATGCGATCCTGTACTCGGTTGCGTCGCCACCATACTCGCCCTCCACCACCAGGTCTCTCTCTCTCTCTCTCATCATTCATAATAAGAAATTCTCGATATCACAATTCTTGAATTCTAAAAATAAATAGTTAATCATCTTAATAAGATTTAATAGTTCTTACGCAAAGAATTTTTAAAATTTGTAATCTTCTCAAAACTTACCACATTTGAATTTACAGAATTCACCAAATCTTGCTTCAACTCTTACTTGTTTTCAATAGCCTAAAATACTTGCTTTTGTTTTCTAAGGGTAGCTCCCACTATAAAAAAAAGGCCTTCGCAGGAACAAATTTTTATTTATCCTGGCAGTTATAATCGTCACAATTTTCTTTGCAGCGATTTAAAAATAGCTATATCCTTGCTGTAATTGCAATACGTTGCAACGACATTCCACAACGGTTTAAGTACCAACGTGATAGATTTTATATCGCCCCTAACAACAACTGCGAAAAAATATAGATTTTTTAGCCCAATACGATCCAATGTCATTCAGCTGTTTGTAGCTCCTGTGAGCATTCACCCAAACGTCAAATGAAAACATATTTTTGTTTTTTATCTTGCATATAAATAATGCGAATCTAATATTGACGTTACACTAGTAATAGAAAACAGCTATTTTTGTTAAAAAATGGTGGTTAGGAATAAAGTTGAGAAAGAAGATCCGTAGAGTTTTTTTTTTTGGTATTAGCAACAAAGTTTGTTTGATATGACTGTTACTAAAATTTTAAGTAAAAAATAAATTATTCAGTTGGAGTCTTGGAGATGTCCTAACTGAATCAATAAATAATCAATCCATACACCAAGCATGACCAAAAATCTATCAACTTCACAAATCTCACACATTTGTTCACATAATCCAGCCCTGCTATAAACAAAGAGAAAATATCAGAACTTCAACAAGTAAACAACAAAAATTCTCCTTTCAGTTCCTTCTTATTTAATTTGTTTCAGTACAATTAAACAAACTGTTCAAATTTCATTTCACCTTCTTATAAATTTATATATTTCTTTCTGTCATGCAAGGTTTTACAACTTCAATCTGAGCTCTCTATCGTTCAGTCGCAGCTGATAAACAGCCGGCTGGCGGCCGCCGAAGCCTTTCATCACTCGCAAACACAGCAGCAACTGATGACAGTTCAACCAGCTTACTCTAACTCTTCAGTTTCCAATAACTTAAACTTTAGTAACTTCCCTTCTTCAGGCTTAGACTTCTGTGATTCTCAGAGTCTCGAGCTGTTGCAGCTTTCACAGACAATCGACGAGGATGATGGAGAAGAGGTGGAAGACAGCACTGATAAGCATCCAGAAGCTTTCAGCGATGGGATCTTTCAGCCCAAAGAACAATCGCATTAATGGGATCTTCTTGTTAGAATTTATCAAAACAATAGGGGAATGATAAATTATGGAAACAAAAAAAAGACGTAAGTTAAGGCTTAGTTTGGGTCTTTGGGACGGCTGATGTTGATCCTCTTAATCATGAACTGTATATAGGAAATTTGAATGTCTTCATGATATCATGAGATCTGACAATCCGGCCTTGTTGGGTTCATCTCGTCGAGCCGCTCGATTCAACTATAATCATGTCATGTTTGGAAACCGTTTGGTCATCCAATTAAGTATGATTTGAACCTTCCAACTGTGCTTCCAATCTTTGATTTGGACTCAGTTGAGCTTAGATTGTGTTTAATTTGATGTCGTTAGGTTTGTATTTATATATGAAACTTTTAGTTTGACTCTAAGTTCGCTAAAATCGGAGTTCAAATGATCTCAGATTTAATTTATGAAGTTTTCAAATTGATTTTGCCTCGAGATTTGTGCCCGATCAAAATAATTTTTTTTATGATATATCAGATTAATAATTAAATTCATATTATTATCATTATATTATTAATAGAATATCAGAATATGAGCTTATCATATGAATATATGATTCATATGTTTACAAGGAATTTGAATGTATTAATGATATCAGAATCTGAAAATTTTGGCTCGTTGGATGCATCTCGTTGAACCGCTTGATTCAACTATAATCATGTCATGTTTCGAAACCGTTTAGTCATTCAAAGTATGATTTGAACCTTCTAAATGTGCTTCCAATCTTTTATTTTGACTCATTTGTGCTTGAATTGAGTCAGATTTTATGTCGTTGGGTTCTTTCAATTTGATTGTACATTTGCTAAAACCAGAATTCAAATGGTCCCAGATTTAATTTATGAAGTTTTCAAATTGATTTGCCTCGAGATTTGTGCCCCATCAAAATACTCTTTTCGATGATATATCATATATAATAATTAAATTCATATTATTATTATTAATAGAATATGAGCTTATCATATGAATATATGATGATTTACAAAATAAATAGTTGGCTAAGAATTATATTATATATATTAAAAGCGTTTAAAATATTGTTTACCAACATGCATTTAATCAAAATATCATTAAAATTAGGAATATAACAAATTTTATTATTTTGAAACGATTAATAATCAAACGTTAAAATAAAACAAGCTAATTATTATTTTTTTACTACTTAGTATTTAAGTGTGAATAAGTTGAGGACGTACCCCTCTCCTCTCTCTCTCTCTCTCTCTCTCTCTCTCTCTCTCTCTCTCAGCGGCTACAACTTTCCCTCTTTCCTCGCGGGTCGGGGGAGATCCAAGAAAGCTCCAATCTTTCCGACTCCCGCGCCGAGGAAGGGGGAAAAGATGTCGACGCCGGCGAGGAAGCGGCTGATGAGGGATTTCAAGAGGCTTCAGCAAGATCCGCCGGCGGGGATCAGCGGTGCTCCCCTTGACAACAATATCATGTTCTGGAACGCTGTGATCTTTGGGTAGGTCTCTGGCTTCGTCTCGTCTCTATCTTCTTTCTATATCTGGTTTTTAAAATCTATTATTTCTGTTTCTGGATTCTATTTGCAGGCCTGATGATACCCCATGGGATGGAGGTTAGTGATCAATGAATTCCTTCTGTCCCACTGTAGCCCTTTTCTTTTGGTCACATACAAAGCCCCTCCATACTGTTTCTGATGCAGAAAATTGAAATTTTTATGTCCGATAACTTGTTGATTTGGAGCTTGATATCCTAAGATTTGATTTAGACAAATGATGATTTGTTGTTTATTGTTACAATTGCTGGAGGTTGTGACTTCTTCAATTCTGTGAGTAATTACAGGTTTGGAGCAAACGAGTTTAATGGATGTTTGAGTTATTATCTTCATAACAATAGCTTCTGGAGTATCGATGCCTTGATTATAATCTGCTTATTCTGAAAGATTTGTAGGCTACTTTGTTTTGGAGTCTTCTTTCTGTTCGTGGATTGGATCAGAAGCTTCTTTTTATCTATCGTTGTTTATGTTAGTTGAAGTGAGTTAGAGAATCTATGAGGTCAATTAAGTAGTTGATGTGACAAAGGTTTTTGATGGCCTTATCTTACTAAACATCTAACCTATGTCTTCTTCCTTGGCCATTAATATGGATTTAAGCTCTGTGTTAGAAATGGTGATTCAGTTAGGAAATTGTAATCAGTTGAGTATGAATCTGGCACTTAATCCAGATTCAGCTTATTAGAGCTGTTAACAATGATGAATGATTGTGGAGACTACAAAAATTTCAGTGCAAGGGTTTTTTTCCTGCTTCCTTTTGTTGTTTGGTTTGATGTTACAGGCAAACTTTTTTGTATCAGGCACGTTTAAGCTTACGCTACAGTTCGCAGAGGATTATCCAAACAAACCTCCAACTGTCCGTTTCGTTTCGAGGATGTTTCATCCAAACAGTAAGTGGTGGTTTGAAGTTTCAAATATAAGCTATGTATTTTTCAACTTGATTGCTTTTTACATTCTCTTGTTGAATTATAATCATAATAATCGATAAGTTGCTATTGAAAGGCAAAATTATGATGTTAAGGTAATTCAGTGAGTTCTTATTCAATATTGGTTTCTTATGTATGCAATGCATCAACAGAGTATTTATTTTAAGATTACTTATTCAAGCTGACAGAATTTGGGGTGGCTATATAATAGTATATGCAGATGGGAGCATTTGCTTAGACATCTTACAAAATCAGTGGAGTCCAATTTATGATGTTGCAGCTATATTGACTTCTATTCAGGTATGCTTTTTATCATTCATTTATAGCTCTAGAAAGAGTGAAATAATTTGTGTTATCGTTTTGTCTAAAAAAAACTTTAAACTGTATCATACTGAAAGCCATTAAGTTGGTATCATACCTAACTAATGTGTGTAACATAATTGCATGAATGGAGTAGCTGATGTTGAAAACTTTGAATCAAACTATTGATGTTTATCTCTACATTGTTGGATGATATTAATGCTAGGAAAGGAGTGATGTAGATCCTTGATACAACCTTAATAACAACATCAAGCCTTTATCCCACTATGTAGGGTCAATAATATGAATCGTTTTTCTCCATTGTGTCATATTAAGAGTAGGGCTGCAAACAAACCGAGCTAGGCCGAGTAGGTGTTTGTTCATGTTTAAACTTGTTTATTATCAGCTTGTTTAAGTTTGATTCAAGCTCAATTCGAGCTTTTTTGTTTGTGTTCAAACTCGGTTTATTTTTTATCTACCAAAAGAAATCTTTCATGAACATATTTAATAAGTATTTTTGAGCAACCAAACTAGCATATTCACGAATAAACTAGTTTAGAAAATAATTTTATTATAAAGAAGCTAGTTTATAAAAACTTTAAACAAAAAATTACTAAACATGAACAAATACTTCTAGTTTATGAACAAAATCATTCTATTGAAAGAGAGAAATATAAAAAATGAAATTATTTTATTATTAAATAAAAATCATTTATTATAATAAAATAAGAAGTTATAAAAAAATAGACCAAATAAAGATTTATAGCAAGACTAAATTGATTCTTAACGAGCTCATTCATAAATTATTTATGAAATATTAATCGAGTTTCTGATAGAGCTTGTTCACGGGCTTTAGTTGATATTGTTCATGAATATAAACAAGTCTAACACATATTTGTTCAAGACTATTTATTTAACTGTTGAGTATTTGATGTAACCTACGTTCTATAGCCAAGTAACAGAACACAAGGAATAGAACAAGACACTTCCTTTCAATAAAACATAAATCATCAACAATTGAAGTAAACCTAATAGTAAACATATATAAGTAAATGATTAGGAAACCTTGAAAGAAACAAACTAAAACATAAAATAAGACCCTTAGAACATCCTAGAAAGGTCACCTCACATACAAATCTGAAAATTAGAGAATGGTGCTCAAAGGAAAAATCAAACCAGTGGTTGCCACAGAATTTTGATCCAGCTCAAGTTGTAACTCCTCCGGCAAATACCAACAAACGGGCTCAACAACACCTTATACTCACAATATTTTAGAGAAGACAAATACAAGTGGAAGGGTAACCGTGGAGAGAAGAAATAGATGGAAGATTGAGAAATAGAAATAGGTGTAGGAAGAAGATAAATCTCAAGCTAGAAAGAAAACCCTCAGGTTTGGATTAGATCTCAGCCAAAAACAACCCCTTTATAATATATATATATATGAGAAAAAGTCCAAATATCTGCATAAATGTGTCACCCTTAATCAATAGAAGCCACCTTGAGAAGATAAAACACAAGACTTTGGAAATAGTAAAGAGGGAAGGGGAATGACCAACAGCAGGAAACCAACGCCCAGGGAAAATTTGCATGGGAAACCAACTGTAGAAATTCCCAGAAAAGGGAAAATCGAAATCTACATTGAAATAAGCCAACATTGAATTTGAATTCAGCATGGGGAACAACCAACCAACATGGGAAGACATGGGCCAATCCTATTAAGGAAAAAATAGCCCAATATTAAATGCCCACTTAGCCATCAAGGAGGTAATTAAACAAATTCAACATGAGTGGAAAGCCAAAGGAGAGAAAATATCAAAGAGCACGAAAATCAAGTATGATCATGGGTTGATTTTCATCATAGGGCACATAAAAAAACGTAGTCCAAAATTACATAACATCCAAAACATAATAAATAAATTACAAAATATAAAATGATAATCCTTGATTGCATCAATATTTTTAAAATTATTCAAACTTATTTGATTATTTAAATAAATGATTATGTACAAACTGTTGGCGGGTCGAGCCACGAGTAGTTTGTTTAACGCTAGGTTCATTTGGAGCCCTATTTAAGAGTCAAATTATCTAATAAAAAAACGTCGTTTAAAAATAATAATAAAAATGTCATTTCTAATACTTTTTAACCAAGCCTTTTTTATGTCTATCTCTACCTTTCTTAACATAGGCCAAATCTAATACATCAACTCTCCTAATCGAGTCATAAAAAATCCTACTTTTTATATGAACAAACCATCTAATGCGATTCTCTCTAATATTATATACTACTAGAGCTACTCTAACCTTTTCATCAATGTAATCATTTCACATTCTATAAAGCCACTCATCCACCTGAGTATCATCATCTATGCAACACTTAGCTTAATTTTATGCTTTTCTTTTAATGGCCAACATTATGCGCCATAGAGCATTATAGGTATCACCACCATCTTATAAAATTTTATCTTAAGTTTGACGAGCACTTCTCTATCACACATGAGGTTCGTTGCTTTCCACCACTTCAACCATCCAACTTGAATTATGCTAACAATAATTGCATCTATTTCACTATCTTTTTGAACGATAGGCTTGAGATGTGTAAAATATATATATTTTTTAATGACTTGATCATCTAATGTCACAATCCCATTACTTGATCTATTACTACTAAAATATACTCCATATATTCGATTTTAAATCTATTCAAGCAAAAACCTTTAGATCACTCTAAGGTTGACATCCATAATTCAAGTTTTTCATCAAATCCCTCTTTGATCTTATCAACAAGAAGATATCATCAGTAAAAAGCATGCACCTCCAATTGAAGATGTTGGATCTTCACGTCAAAGGACAATATCAATTTAAGATCCAATTGTATCTTGTATTCCTCTTTATAGTTCTATCAATAAAAATTGTTTTGGGGTGTTCTTCCCAAATTTTTGTGTTTCATCCGCCAATTTTTGTGAAAAGTGCATTCACTTCCCATCAAATTGATATCAAAGCACTTTTTTGGGACGTATGGCGGCAATGAAAGTTGATGCCTTGGAAAAGCGTCTTAAAGAAAATGTCGGCTAACTCAAATTGGTGTTTAAGGACAGAATGTCATCAATTGAGGAAAAGTTTTCCAACCTAGAAGGAATGATAAAGAAGCTGTTGGATCTTCACGTCAAAGGACAATATCAATATCAATGACATTCAATTCCTGTCAAACAGAATTGTCAACAAAGCATGAACAAATTTGCTAGAGTAGCTAAATCTGATGCAAAGTTTTGTTTAATAAATCTTGCTTATACCGGGCAAGATTCCGAAGCCTATGAAGTTTCTCAATCTCAAGTGAGCAAGAATTCAATTACCTCACCTATGGAGAATCTGGTTCCTCCCAGCTCAACATTACTGGTTGCATTAAAAGATGATATGAAGTTGATTTTGGAGCCACTTCCAAAAAGGGGAAATGGTGAAGGAGTGATTTTTAGGGGAGCTGTAGAGTTTGGAAGACGAAGAAGATGGAAACATCATACATGGTTCAACCACTCCTACATTAGTATCGAGAGATGTTTCAACCATTTCAGGGGTTGCCTCCTCCTCGGGAACACGAGCATGCTATCATTTTGAAGGAAGTAGTCTCAACTATCAATATTTGTCCATATCATTATGCTCAAATCTAGAAGGATGAAATTGAGAGATTGATAAGGGAGATGCTGGAGGTAGGGATCATTCGACTCAGTGCGAGTCCATTTTTTAGTCTAGTGGTATTAGTCAAGTGCCTCAGCAGCAATTTCCTTCGTTCCACCTTGAGCACAAGATGACTCTTTGAGAGGGGAGTATTGATGGACTGGCCGATTTGATTGGGAGGGAATTAGGAAGTTTTCTAATAAAGAGGTAGATGCTTAGGAAGGTTCTTAATTAAAGGGGAATTGCTTAGAAAATTTTTAATTACAATTGAGAAAGATTTCTTTAGGGCAGGAGATCTAATTTAAATTTAAAATCTAAGAGAGAATTATTTAGAGAAAAGGAGGAACTAAAGGGGGGGGGGGTTGTTTAGGGAAGTTTTAATTACAATTGGGAGGGAATTAATTAGGTAAAAAAAATCTAATTTGAATTCAAATATGAAAGAGAATTATTTAGGGAAAAGGGGTTGCTTTTGTGTGTGTGTGTGGGTGAGGGGGGATTTTTCATAGGTTTTTTAGGTTCTAGTCGGTGGCTAGGGATTTGGGAGAGTGGATCTTCTCCTCCAATTGAAGATCTAATTGTATCTTGTACTTCTCTTTATAGATATTTTAATAAAAATTGTTTTGGAGGTGTTCTTCCCAATTTTTCGTGTTTCATCCGTTGATTTTTGTGAAAAAATGCATCAACTTCCTATTAAAATACTTGAAAAATCTTGGAGCTCCACCTAAGAACTTCCATCGAACCATCGCTCGACAGCCGTCATCGAACTGCTGTCTAACTACCACCGTCAGACCATAGTCTGATTGTCGCCTTCGAACCAATGCTACACGACAGTCGTCGCCAAACCACCATTGTCAAATCACCTCCGCTCGATTGTTGTCTTCAAATTTTCAGCATCATTGGATCACCACTGTTAGATTGTTACCACTTGAACACTGTCTCCGGATCATCACTGCCCGACCAGTACCATCATTGGACCGCCATCACCCAGTAAGTGTTTTCTAGCTAAGACCAGTCGATCAATACTGTCAGACTATTGTCACTCAGCCACAACCGTCCCAACACCTTTCTGATAGGAAGTACTTGAGTTCGCAAGTAATCATATCGGATCTACTTGAGTTCGCAAGCAACCCTAATACAAATTTGATCAAAACAATGATAATAACCAAGATCGGGAAGAAACGGACAAGAAAACCAAAGAGAACTTCATTGAAAATTCAAAGCAAAGAAACATAAGCAAAGATACAAGTGATCCTCTATTCGAGAGGAGGATCGTTCTCTCCAAATCTCTAGATGCTAGGTCTAAAGCCCAAAACCCCAAGAGACTCGAAGAAGACACAAATCTAAGCATGCCCTAACCCATTCCTCCTCATCCCTATTTATATCCTTCATCCTAGCCCTAAACAGCCCCCCTCTTACTAAAAATATATTATTTTTATTAAATCAAATAAGCTTGCACCTCCTTCCCAAAATACAATTGAATCAAATAAGCAACTAGGCACCTCCTTCCCAAAATACAATTGAATCAAATAGGCAATTAGGCACCTACTTCCCAAAATACAATTTGTTTAATTAAATCAAATATGTGTGGGCCCCAATTCTAGGCGGCAAACCAAGGGAGGCGGTTTACACCGCCTTTTGTAAACATGTGCCGGCCCAGGTGGGGCCGGCTGGGTCGGTTCGGGAGGAATCAACCCTCCCCTAGTCGGTGTGGCTTGCACCGACCTTTCGCTTTCATCTTATACCGACTTTACTATATCTTCTACCAGCTCCCCATATTCCTATAATCTTGTCATCTTCAAATTAAGGTCGAACAAATTCATGTAATTAATGCTCACATAATGAAATCATTTCAGTTGGACCAAACTTTTGTGTTTTTTTTTTTTTTGGATTTTCTATGTGAACTTGGCATCTATATGCATTTTTTATTTATCAATTTGTGTGATGGATCTTCGTGCAAAACTATGAAATAAAACTCTATCAATTTTAGTGCAAGAAATTTTCTAATATACAACAATCTTATGTTCAAATTTATGTTTTCTCTATTTTCTAATCTTTTCTAATCTTTATTCGGTCAAACATTGCTAAGAAACACAACACTAAGAATTCAAAATGACACAAAATACCAGCAAGACAAGTTTTTTAACTTGGGTATTTCTGTTGAATTAGGCAATTAATTTTTAATTATTATTTTTTAATATTTACTTTATGGAATGAATGAAAAAATAATGATACAAAAAGCTAAACCCAGCAAGTTGGGATAACGCCAATGATGATGATATATGCTTCTGTGGTCCTCTTAAATGATTGTTTGCTCAATCGTAGTTTATTATCAGATGCAGTCCTTATTTATATGCTTATGGTGAAAATTGTTCACAGAAAAGCCTCACATTTGCAGGTATGATTTGTTTGACTGTTGAATTTTCTTCTCTGTGTCGTTTTGTTCAATTTTAACCGAAACAAACTTGTTCCATTTCATTTAAGGCTGAAAACTAAGCAAAACCATCCATTCATGGCTATACCTGCTGTTGCTTGCTCGCAGATCTAGAATCTATTTACTGTTGTAGAAAATATGTGCGTTTACACATCCATTATGTTCAACAAGTTCTAGCAGAATCAGTTCCAGCTGTTTTAATTATTGAGAGAATATAATAGCTTGGCATTGTCAGACATATTGTTTGTTTCCTACTATCAATCTGTCAGTGAAACTGACTTTGTCTTCACATAAGCTTAACCAAACATCTACTATTTACATTCTACCTAACTTTTGGATCTCTGAAACTTTTTTTCAATGGCTGACAGCAGAACTTGTTTTGTTTTACAGTCTCTTCTCTGTGACCCAAATCCGAACTCTCCGGCGAACTCGGAGGCAGCTCGCATGTTCAGCGAGAACAAGCGGGAGTACAATAGGAGAGTTCGGAGCGTCGTGGAGCAAAGCTGGACTGCAGATTGAAGAAGACAACTGCTTCAGTCACAGCCTTATGCTCTTGTTAGTATCATACAGTGTTCTTGCTGGTCTTCTGTTGAATTTGTCCTTTAATTATCTTGTGATGACTATCTTTGTCTGATCTTCTATTGTGTGAATCTGTGAACTCTAAGCTTATATAAAGAATCATGGTCTGTCTCATTTAGAAGCAATTTTACTTGGCTGAATGGACCATGACTTCCCTAAATAATTCTGTATATGAAAATGAAAGGTCAAAGCTCCTAACCAACGGTCTAACATGAGCTGCATATATTTTAAATAATTAGAATAAGTTTTAATATAATTTTAATTCAATATTGACTTATTCATTCATTTATATTTATGAATTTATTTAGTTGTATTTTTAGCAAATAACTAATTGATAGTCAGAATATTCATTTAATGATTACCTTTTTTTTTAAATGAGTATCATTTTTTATATCATATACATATTTAAAATTATTATATTATTGGAGGTATATGTAGAGTTAAAATATTAAATAAGATAAATTTATTTATATTTTATAATATATGGCTCTTTAAATAATTAAAATCTCATATCAAATGTGTTAGGCTTAGTTGTATTTATATGATATCACGAATTATAGAAAAAAAGCTAACTCCTATAATTTTTATAATTTTATAATTTAATGATTTAAGTTTTGTTTGATATTATATTTTTACTATTTTTGAAGTAGTTCTTTAATATAAAAAAATTAATTTTTTATTAAAAAATTATTTTAAGCAGATGTCCTAAATGAAGCCTTAATTAATAAATTAATACTCAGCCAGGCTTGAATCATCTACAGTCTTATTAAGAATCAAGACTGGAAGCATTCTAAAGGTAGTCAGTGAAGGGAATAAATGCAGAAGCTCTGAAAGGGTTCATACTTCATAGCTTAAAGAAAGTGTTTGTTAGGGGCTATTGTATTGCTTTTTTGAAAGCGATTATCACATGCTATGATTCATAGATATGGCCTCCTGATTAGGGTTTAGTAGTTCTTCCAAGTAAATTGTGGCTCGAATTCGTTAGATGAAAAAAAAAAAAAGCCTTTAATTCAATTATAGACGGATGGATTCTTTCACCCTACCAAAGAAATGAGATCAAAGAAATTTAGGCTTTGTTTGTCGTTTTTTGGAGCAATTTTTAGTACAAAAATTTTTGTACTAAAAATCCATTTTAAAAAGTAATAAAAAAGTTGTCATGAACATCTTTCTTACTATTTTTTATAGTAGAAAGAAAATTGTCTCAAATAAAACCTAAATCAACTAGGATAATTGAAACATGTGGCACGAAGTTTATGAAAGAGGTGAATCTATTGTGGGGATTAGCCGCACTGTTAGAGCTCGTTAGAACTCAGAAGAATTTCATGAACAAAAAAATGTATTTTTTATCCATTCAAATCAACATAGTTATAACCTTATTTTTAAAGTTCATATCATAGGAAACTTGTCATGTCTGTTGTTTCATAAGTTCTGAATGAGAAAAATGAAAAATTACGTAAAGTAGTCGACATCTAGCATAAATTTTATGGAATAAAAAAACAATGGGGAAGATCAAGAGGTGATTGGCAAAATGAGAGAGAATCGATAATCAAAATTTGTGACGATAGTTCTGCTTGATTTTTGTAGAATCATTTGGTCTTTTCTAATAATGTAAACTAAACATAGAAACTAATTGAAATGGTGCACATGAAACATTAACAAACTTAAGGGTGACTGTACAAATTACTAGTTTATTGGAGGCATTATGAATTCAGGTGCTTTGAAATTGGCGCTAAAAGTCATCTTAGAGTAAATTAAGATTAATCCAATAGAAGAACAAAGAGTGTATCAACATAACAATGCTATGATGTCAGACATCATATATAATACTAAAGAAAAAGAATAATTTTATCAAACAAAAGTTGGACAAGATAAATTAAAAAAAAAAAAACCTGCTAGTTGAACCTACAGGGACCAGCAAAAAAAAATGTACAGCTTACGTTAAGCAACGAAAATGCTCTGAACTGTGGAGGCTTCCTCCTCTGACGGCAGCTGCAGCTGCTGCTTCAAATGGAGAGTAAGGCTTCGTTTGGGATGACTTTCTTACTGCTTAAAGCAGCTTTTTAGTACAAAAATTAAAAAATTTATGCTAAAAAATTGCTTTAAGAAGTAATAAGAAAGCTGTCTCAAACGAAGCCTAAGACCTCGGAAAACAATTAGTATTGGTTCAACCATCAAGAATCTGGGGTCCCCGGTATTCTATTCCAGTCATCTTCAAGTCTTTAGGGATCTCAATTTCCTCTAACCAGCGAAAGGAATTATCACACCTTCCATTCGCAGTAGAATCGCCCTCTGCAGAAATTTGGAATCAAAGGATGAGCTCACAGGCATGAACTGAACAAAATATTTGATATAAAAGCAGTAGATTATGCCAACGCTATCTTAACAAGTTCTCAATTTGCAGTAGTAAAACTGAGTGTAGATCTCTGAATGAAGATTACATGGTCCAATGAAGTACCCTAAACATTTCATCAAGCACTTTTCTACAGATGAAAACTCTTTTTAACTAGGGCGATGATCTAGACTAGACAATCAGATATGTTTTTGGATTTGGATCAAAGTAAAGGAGTTGACTAATGAGGCCAGTTTGGCTTGGATCAAGCTTGGATTGAATCAAATTAGACCAAGATCGGATCAATAAACTTGTTTCTATATGCATTTATTTTTAAATGAATGAACATATGCATATATGCATTTCCATTTATGAGTGTATGCACATATCTTGAATTAGAAATTTGTCTTAGCTAATCAATAATTAATATAGATTGGATCAATTTCTACATCGAATGGAACTCAAATTAAAGCTAACGAGCCATGCAAGTCCTGAATCAAGCCAACCTATAGCCAGACTAGGCTCGACTAAAAGTCTAATTGAATGACTTCAAGCTAACGTTGCATGCGGTTCAAATCGGTTATAATCACACAATACCCTCCTACTACCATAAGCATACCCATTAAGGTGTGCATCGCACATCAACATTCATCCTTATATAAGATACGACCATCCTTTGTTAAGATATATGTATTAGTCGATCACACTCAACTAAATCACCGTCAAATACCTCTCTTTGCATCAACAAAAATCAGATTGGTGGCTTCAAGATCCTCCAACGGTCCAACCTACTTATCACCATTAAAATTTAGTAAAAAGGGGGATGCAATGCTACTAAGAAATTTATCAAAAATTCGATGAAAAAATTTAAAACAAAAGTGATTTCACATACAACTCCTAAAATAAGTCATCCTTCCAAAAAATAAAATTGCTTTCGAAGTTATTTAACTGCTAACAACTCACTTTTGTGATATCTCAAAATAGCAGAACAAAGACTTGAAAAATGTAAACTTTACATGATTTTCAAGTACTTAAAGAGTCTACAACAATGCAAAGAACTCTCAGAGTAACATCTACCAGATCCTCCAACTAAATCAATCTTTCGAAGTTTTCAATGCAAGGTTAAGACACTTATGGCAACATCATTGCATTGAATACGTTATTTTATATAAAAAATTCTAAAAATCACAGTAAATCATGGAAGGTAGAAGACACTTTTACAAAATTGGCCCATCAATTTCAAATTAATATGACATTTACACAAAAATTTACAAGATTAGAAGAGAAACGAAGATAAAACCCAATAAAGCATGGAAACAGTGGCCTTAGCCTACCATTGCAAATGCAACCTAAAAGATAAAATTTCAAGTTTAATATAATGGAATGTCCAAAGACCATTTTTGCATTAAAATATTTTATAATTTTAGATCTCCTCACAATTACTATAATGGCATTCTTCAATAGAGATTCTCATTCAATTTTAACCATTAAAAATTAAATTCATCCCTTAAGAAAATCTATCTTTTTACATATAAAGAAAAATAACAGCAAAGTTTCAATCAAGATTAAGAATAATAACATCAAAGTTTCAATCAAGGGAGTAAAAAAAGATGGTAATCGTCGATACAACGCAAACAATTCGCACAAAGTAAGATTTTAATATCAACCAATAATCATAAATTAGGTATTATAATCAAAGTTTTAATTAAGATAATTAAAAGGATGAGGTTAGGTTTAAGTCCTTCAATTGGTGAGAAAGCTGTAATTATCTAATTAAATTAGGTCTTATTGATACTCTTATTAAAAGAAATGTAGCATTTTAGAGATTATTTTTTCTAACAACTTCACAAGTAGGAAAGTGAAAAATAAGATAATATATTATTTTATCTTTTAAACTTTGGATGACCCTTTTATGGACTTCATTTTAAGTTTATCAAAGGCACCTAGGGGTTGTGATATCTTTGTGGTTTTAGTCTTGTAGATCATTTTTCTAAAATGAAACAATTTTTACCATGTAACATGTACCAATTTTTTTAAGAGGTCATGATACTTCATCACACGCCATTCATAAAAGTCTCTCATAGGCGCGCTAATTTTATTTCTTATTTTTGAAAAGTTGTGTGAATATTTATCAGGAGAAAATAAAAATTATCTTCCGCTTTTCATTCATAAATGGATAAAGAAATTAGATTTGTTAATAAGATTTTGGATAAAATTTTAAAATGTTTAGTGGGAAATTTTTGGGGCTTCAAGGATTTGCATTAATACACCTTTGAACCTGCATAAATTAGCATAATGCCTCAACTAACTAAAAATAGTCACCTGAGAAAAAAATGAAGAATACATTTAAAGATAAATTGCTTAAATCACAAATTAACATTTATTTGCTAATTTCCAACAAAAGATAATAAGTTGTTGACTCACAAATTGACATTGTAACTCATCAAAATAAATGTCAGCGGTAAGAAAATCTACTTCAGCATTTTCATTGTGTGATATTTGATAATGAAGCAGAAAATTTTTTATAAAATTTCTGTTGCAAACTTTAGATAAATAGAATAGAGAAAATGGTATACTGACCAGACAAATGTACAGATAAAAAAATTTATAAAATGCAATATCAGCATACGTATGATCCTTGTAGTAAGTGCAGTGATGATGATAAGGTACCACCTCTAATTATTAATTGATGTCAGTTATATGAATAATGAAAGTGTACAGAATTACCTAAAAGTAGTATTGCATAAGAAAGAACGTCAAACTATATACCAAAATAGATTATACATTAGGAAAAATAAATTAATGCACCGAAATGAACCCAAAAAAGGATCAAAAAGTAAATATTTTTTAAGTTCATTCATTGGCCAGTGAGCATAGGGATCCATTCAGACTAGTTGTCTAGAAAGTGACAAAACATATCATTAGAGGATAAGAATCTGCTTGGGACAACTTTCTTAGTACTTTGCTTTTCAAACAGCAATCATAGTTGTTGTTTGGCTATTGTTTTTCCATTGCTTTCAATAAAATTGTGTTGGAAAGCTGCTCTTTACAACAACATTTTAAAAAAATTATTTTTTCTGCAACAACTTTACAACCAATCTTATAAAAAACTACAGGCTACAACAATCCTAAATAGACCCTCAAGTTATAGAAGTATATTTTCGATGCATTTTTGAAGGAATTACAAGGAATACAAATACATTTAACTTCACAATTTCATACTGTGTTTGGTTTTAATGTAATTAACAAGTAATTGGATTTTCCTTAAAATTGTAAATAAATGTTTTTTATAAAAATTAAATACCCAATTTTAGCAAAAAAATTAAGAAAATTTGAAGGATCATCATATGACTCACATATCCTCTCCTCAAAAAACAAGATATCAATTTCTCGTTAACCAAATAAGAAATAATACCTTTCACTCAATTTCTCTGCAACAAAAAAAAATGCGTGAAACTTAGGTTCAATTCAATTCTTTGCCATTTTATTTTCATTTACTAGCTTGCAATTGCTTTAAACCAAGATGGGCCTTTTACTAACTAACTTTTTTCTGGATGTCAAATCATACAACTAAAATAATATCATATAAGTATGAACATTAACCAATACGGTTTTTAAATGCAAGCTCAGCATAGAATGGCAAGCTCCTATTACAAAGTAACAGAATGCATGCAAAGTAATTAATAGTTACCTGCAACATCAGCATATAGATGATCTTTGTAGTAAGTGCAGTCACGGTCATCTTCTTTTGAATAAGGAGGACCTAGGATATCAAGCACTGCACAAGGGGTAATGGCACGGAAAGTGTGGATGTTTCCTCCAGTTGTGGGATACAGAATGGAAGTTTCACAAGGTGCAGTGAAATCAGAATTCTCAACTATTTTTGCAAGTCTAGCTGAAAATTTGAGCATGAATTGTCATAAAAAATGGAAATAGCCATAAGCAAATGAATAAGTTGACAATAAAAACAAGGACGTATAATAAGCCATCCAACTATTCAAGTAGCAAGCACTTACATTGTGCTGATGGTGGGTCTTTATCTGTTTTGTAATTATCAACCCAATCGTATGATTTTATATGCATGGTTCCTAGGAGTAGTTTGCTGAAAACAGTCATCCCGGGATGATTATGCAGAGGGATAACAGCAGTTGGTGGGAGAAAGAATATACACATCTGCAAAATAGAAAAGATGTGCAATTTATTTAAAGCTAGATTGAGCAGGTGTACTGAAATCATAAGCTATTACTCCTGAAAAGCTGAAAAATCAAAAGATAATTTTCAATAACAACAACAATCAAATAATGAAGAACAAGGAAATAAAATGCAACAATAACACTTTGCATAGCCATAACATCTCCTACACAGATTTTACATGTACCCATAACGTTATATCTATTTGCACCCTTTGCCGGACCAAACAAATAATCCAAATCACAACACTTGAATATAGGCTCATTTTGTAAACAAGCTTACTCAACAGTAGACAAGAATAAAATGCTTTCTTTCCATAGTATGTGCGATGAGAGAACAAAAGCTGAAGTCAAATTATTTAAATTGAGCGTGAACCACATTCACACAAGCACTACAGGACCACGTGTCTGTTTCTGCCAATAGAATGGGGCTAAAGCTCAGTTCACAGAAGCTTATTAATACACCTTACTGTAGCCACGTATAGGACCAGGTGTCAGTTTCTACCAATAGAATGGGGCTAAGGATCAGTCCACAGGGGCTTATGAATACACCATACTGTGCAATCAATAGTAGCAGAACGCAAAGCCTGGGATCATGCATTTTTCATGGTTTGGAACATGCAACAAAAATTTTAAAAATATTGGTTTCTTCATAATGAAAAGGATTTTAGCAGCATTATCCATTTTTAAAATCAACATAAATCATGCACCGCTACAAGATACACTCCTATGATCTTTCTCCATGCTTTTTTCTGAAATAATATTTAAAGGAGTTCAAGGATCAGCTGAGAGACTTTGAAATCATACCGAGAACTTATCGCAATTGTATATATGTGTATAAGTTATCGCTGGGGTTTCTTTTGCAGTACTCCTGTCCTTGAAAAAGGGAAGATCTGTGCTTAGCCCAACATCCTCTGGTTTCAGTTTATCTGTAAAGAGGGGTAATCAAAGGTATAAATTTCAACTATAGAAATAGTTAATAAGCTTATGAACTGCAAGCAAGGTTCTTGAGAATAAAGCAGCATCAAACATAAAGAACAGAACCTGGCTGTTTATAGTCAAACCTTTCACGTGCATTACAGTATGTCGGTGATATTAGTTGAAATTTATTAGTGTAAAGTACACAAGTGATGTGTAGAAAGGTCCTATGTTGGTGGCTATCAAAGCATATCCAAGCTTATGTTACCAATTATCAGCAAATCACATGATGATGCCCACGCCTATGCACATAATAATTGGTACACTATCTAGTGGTCATGCCATATGCAGTTTATTACCTGGACATCATTCATGATGTGGAACCGCTGGCTTGAAACCATCATACCAATTGAAATTAACTTTCAAGCAAATGGAAATTAGGCAGTTATGTTTTGATACAACCAGTACTTGGATCCAAGTAAAAAATCTTCATTCAGGTTCTTATGTTTATCTCTAACATTCAACCCATTTTTTTCTGTTGGGGAGAAAGAACCAGTCAAGAATGATGATGATCAACAAAGTCATTTAATTGCACTTTAATTTGCAAAATGATCGACATCCATAAGCATTAAGGAAATATCAAAAATCATTGGCCTTGGAGGGAGCTGCGTGGTCAAACCCAACTACCCACGCCCCCTCTCCCAGACCTTTGGAGAGCTACTTTTTTATATCTAAAGGTTGATATACCTCTAGATATAAAAAATTGGTAGCCTAAGAAGGTATTGACGCACAACAAAATGCATATGAAATGTGCGTCAAATGTCAATGGCAAAAGAGTAGGTGGCAGCGTGCAGGAATCAGGATGAGAAAATATAGGTAGCTATCAAGCAAAAACATAGAAAATAGAAATGGCATGACAATTGACGGGTAAGTAAGACAACAAAGACACTTTGACAAGTCACAGGCAAGCATCCAAGAGCGCAACAGGATTTTACAAGACTACTCTAGCGGGGAAGAAGGAAATTTCAAACTTTGTTAGTCTTGAAGTGGGATCAATGGTTGAACACAACTACCCTATGCACCTATCCCAGACCTTTGAAGAGCTCTACTTTTTCTAGTCAGAGGCAAATAAGGCAAGCAACCAGAGAAGGACAAAAACTAAGAGCCTAAGAAGGTGTTGACACATGATAATTATGCATGCGAGATACGCAGCAACTGTCAGTGGCAAGAGAACGTATGTGGGTATACAAAGTGAGAGGACAATTGGTCAGCATGCAAAGGTGAAGAAATGGATTGGCGGACCATAAGCAAGGGAGAGAGTAGAAATGTACTAATAGATGGCGAACATGCACCTAAGAGAGCAATAGATGGCACTTGATGACCAGCACAAAGGCAGAGATCGATTCAAGACTAAATGGAGATTTTCAAAAATCAATGATTCAATGTGGACAAAAGGTCAAAAAGGGAGTAGATACAAATTATCATTCTTTTTCAAAACATGAATCGTTGATGGGAAAATCCATACATCAGCTTTTACTAATGTCCAAGATTATCAATGATTTCCCCAATCAACACTATTCAACTAATGCTTTTATTTTTATTTTTTACTTGGACAACACAAAAAATTAAACTTAAACAACATGTATGACTATCAGAAAAACTTAACTAGCAATATCGTCATTGAGAAGATCAGGATAAACTGACCCAAATCCCTCTTACACAAAGCTCGCTAGTTTCCCACTTATTTGCAGCCTTCCATTCCAGATAATATTCGTGATTAAGGGCTTAATTGGTTGCTTGAAGTTAGAAAGCGTGCTTTGAAAAATTATGAATTTACTCCATTTAGTGGTTTGTTTGGGTATAGTCAGAAATCACTTTTAGACCTTTACACACAAAATGAGTGAAAAACAGATCACTAATTTCTAAAAACATATTTCTATCTAGCAACCAGACAACCAAGTGTGCGTTAATAAAAATAGAATAGCACTGAATTGGCCACCAGTAATGGAAGGAACAACAGATCATGTACAGTAACTTAAAATACTCAAATCAACACTATAAACAGAACAAACGATAAATCATTAACTACCTCATCATAAAAAAAAAACACACAAACATATAAAATTCAATAACCAAGATTATACACCGACCCAAATTCAGAGAAAACGCGTAAAACCTCACCAAACCATCATTATTCAGCATCCTATGCATTGATGCATTCCAATCCAGCAGAGATAATAAATCCCTATACCAATTAAAAATTTCACAACAACCCTTCTAATTTTAACCAAATCATCAGAATTCAAGAAACCAACTAAGCTCAATCTAGCACATATGAAACAAAACCATTACCGAGAACAAGCTGCAGCATCTGCACATCCTTAGGCGACGGCACCGTCCGTGGACCCTTGAAAACAGCCATACATACCTCAAAGAGACGTTGGATCGCCGCCGACGACGATCCCGCCAACACCCGCCGTACCCTCGGCGGCCGACCAAACCCTCCTCCCCCTCCTCGCCTCCTCGCGATCCTCTCCTGCTCATATTTCTTCCTCCCCTCCACCGCCTTCCGCTTCTCCCCCATCGCGCTTCCCTCTACCTTCATCTCTCGATCTCGAATGGAGGTGAGCGGTAGGAGAGGCGGGAGATATAAAAGAGGTTTTGTTCGAGAAAACCACGGGCCAGGACTGTGGAGAAAGGAAAACCGGGCTCCGATTCAGAAGCCTGGTCTAAAAGCAAATCTAGTTTTCGATAAGCCGGCGGCTTTGTTACGACTCCAGCAGTTGGTACGGTGTTTGTTGCGCCTTACAGCTAGTTTATTTTCTGAATAATTTATAAAATAGACAAAAAATTAAATTATGATTATTTTTTAAGACAAATATAATATAAGCTCTAATTAATTATTTATATATTATCTTATTTTTAAATTAATAAAATATTATAGAGGTTGACATAAGAAGACTTGGTTATAAAATATTATTTTTATTTTTGTCAAAATTTTAAAATCATATTATGTATTTAGGAGGAAAAGAATTTAATAGTAAAAAGAAATTTATTAAGAGTGTTGACCATTTAGAATCAAAATATTTTAAATTGAGTTGAAAATTTATAATTTAAATTGAGTTGAATAGTTATATCTTCTACAAATATCTTTAAAATTAATTATTTTATGTGAAAATTAGAAATTTAACATTTTGTTTTTAAATTTGATAAATATATCCTAAAAATAACTATATATAATTTTATTTGTAATAATATAAATTCCAAATTAATAAATAATTAATCATTCATTTTTGAGCGTCGTGAAAAAGAAAGAAGTTTATAATAACTTTTTGCCCCCTAAAGAAATAAAAGTATGCTAAAATAATCGAAACAAGTCAATGTCAATCACGAAAGCTCTTTTGAATTTTCTATTTTATATTTTACTCAAAAAAAGAATTTTCTATTTTATCATTTCCTAATAGAAATATGTGATATTTTTATTATAAAATTCTTTAAACATATTTAAAAATAAATAACATTTAATAAACTTTTAAATAAAAATACTTGAAATTAAATTTCAAAACTAAATAACAAATTTATTAGAACTATTGCAATTAATTGTTAATAATAACAAATATTAGTAGAGAATTTTCCTAGCTTAGTAATGTTTAGCTGTTACAAGCATTTTAATAATTCATTTAAATTTCATACTTTTTATAAATTTTCCCAGCTCAATTTTACCATATTATAAATTTACTTTGATTTACAATTTAATCATTTAGGCATTAATGATGGGCTAAAATTTTACAAAAATTTAATAAAAAATTTTAAATTATGAAAATTAGGTAGGTGAAAGAGTGTTATGCTTACTCTAGCGTAACTTTACATTTATAATAAACTTTATTAAAAATTTATTAAATTTTTAGGTCTTTTTGAGATGGCTGTAGTTCTTTATAAAATTTGTTGTGAAATTAATGTGAAGAAAATAACTTAGATTTCGTCTGTGATAGCTTTCTTACTACTTCTTAAATCATCTTTTTTTATAAAAATTTAAATTTTTATGCTAAAATTTTATTTTAAGAAGCAATAAAAAAATATCCCACATAAATCATTAATTGTTATTCTTATAAAAAATAAATTTTCTTCAAAGAAATGTATTAAAAGTAGTCAAAAGAAAAAAAATGGTTAATGAAATTATGATTGTTATAAAAAAAATAACGCAATTAGAAAGCTTTCACAGACAGATATTTAGTTTATAAAAAAAAAGGCATTCCTATGAAAGCCATATTTTAATTTACTTCTAAGTATGATAAAATCATTTTAAAATAATTTATAATATTTTAATATAATATAATGCCAGCTATTCAGATTCCTACTCATCCAAAAAGTGAATACGACAAATGATTTTTTTAAATATTTTTTTAATTTAAATAAAGAAAAATGCCACGTGGGCAATATAAAGCAAGATGAGGAGCTTTTAATAATATTTTTATAATGTGAATGTAAGTGTGGAAAGGAAAGAATTGAGCATCTTTTGATTCCATTATATAATATAATTGCATGGTTGAAACCATTACACAAATTAATCACTATATTAACTTAATTATTAGTTAATAAAAAGATTATGATAATAAATGGTAGCTTTGAAATTTTGAGATTATAGGAGTGGTTGTGAAGAAAGGCATTTATTGGGTCAAAGTTACTATTTTGAAAGTAGTGAAATAGTTTTTTAAATATAAAAAACTCATTAATGTCAAAATAGCCACTTAATTAATTTATTAATTTGTATTTTTCATCAACAATATGAAGTCTTTGTCCCACTACGTGGGGTCGGTTACATGTATATTTTTTTCTCCATTTACATACTGTTAAAAGTCAAATTCTCGTTTAACTCTAATAAATAAAGATCATTTCTAATACTTTATAACCAAATTTTTTTAGGTCTAACTCTACCTTTCTTAATATAAGTCAAATATAATACTTATATTTTTCAAATCAGGTCATCGGAAGGCCCACGTTTTATTTGACCAAACATCTAAGGCGACTCTCTTTAATCTTATCTTTCACTGAAGCTACTCCAACATTTTCCTCGATATGCTTATTTCATATTATTTCTCTAAGGATAAATCAACTCGTCCACCTCAGCATATGAACATGCATGAGTTTTAAACTCCAATCTTTTTTTTTTATTAAAAAAAAAGAAAGAAATTATCATTAAAATCTAATTTTTTTTGTAATTGAATATAAATTCAAATTATTTCATGACTTTTAGGGATGATTATATCAATTTAAATTTCATGATTGATACATCATAAAAAATCGTCTTGATGTAGTTCAAATCCTGATCATATTTAAAGTGAGAATTTTCAAAATTAAATCCAACGCCATCGAAAATCTAATTTAGACAAATTTACAGTTAAACTGAGCATCCAAATGACAGGAATCTAACAATATTAAAAAAATTATACAATTCGAGTTTGAATGAGCCGAAATCAAGCATATGATTTGTAATTATAAACTTCAAAATATTAAGTGGATCGCCAAATAATCTATAATTTTAGCATGTTTATAATCGAATTGAGCATCTCAGCAATACATCATGGTTTTTTCCTTCTCATTGACTTTCTTCATAAAACGGGCCGACATTTTTTATATTTTTCATATTATATAATTTCTATATGTGTGTTGGATCTTCGCACAAATGCTAGGACAATAAACTCTCTAACTTTATTGGGGTAAATATTTCAGCACATGACAATAATTGTATTTTAGATCGACCTACAAGTTTTTAAATTTTCTTATATCAAATAATAAACATATGAAATTAGGTACAATAAACAATTATTTTATGTTATTTTGAACTATTAAATATGTGATATCAAAAGTATATTTAGGCTAAAACTGTTAAATATGAATAATTAATAATTAATTTTTATAGTAATTTTATTTTAAAGTAAGTTTAAAATATACTAAGATTCAATGTTGATACATTTGTTGACCCAAAGTCTATTGCGTACAATGCTCATGCATGAGTTTTCTCTCTAATAAAGGTCACGTGGATTATGGCAAAAGCATTGGACGATTTCTGCTTTGTATTAATGAGTTCTCACTACTTTGGATTTTTCTTAAATAACTATGGGCTCTATCGGTTGTTTATGGATTGAAAATAAAATATATTCGAAGGGTCTATTAGAAATGAGTGTTATTTTACTATGCTGGATGCAAAAAAAATATTTTTCATGACAAAATTTTTTTTAAAAAAGATAAAATAGTGAGTGCTTGTTTGAGTAGATTACAGCGTTTTATAAAGTTTAGAATTTTGAAGTTACTATGGAGAAAACAACTTCGATGTTATAGATGTGGAAAGTAGTTTCGTATCACAAAAAATTTTGAAAATTTTGTGAGAAAACATAATAAAACAAAGAAAAAAGCTATGACAAATCTTAAAAATGTAATAAACATACGTAATTGTGGCTTCTATCTAAAAAGCAAAGCAAAAAACTATGACAAACAAACCCTCTGACTTTTTTTGGAATAATTTTTCGATTGCTTTCATTAGGGGTGTCAATTTCGGTCACGGGTCGGGTTCGAGTCGAACCCGAACTGACCCGGGTGCAAAACGGGTCGACCCTAACCCGACCCGGGTAGAGAAACGGGTCTAAAATCCGAACCCGGACCCGACCCGGCGGGATGCCGGGTTGACCTGACCCGACACAGAACCCGGGGTGCGCGGCTGCGCCGGCGAGCGCCCAGGCGAGCTCCCAGGCGAGCGGCGTTTTTCAAACGGGTCGATTTCTGGAACCCGAACCCGACCCGTTTTGAAACCGGGTCGGGTCCAACCCGAACTTTTCGGGTCGGTCCGGGTCGGATTTTCGTGTCGTGTCAAATATTGACACCCCTAGCTTTCATGATAAGAAAACAAGTTGGTGAAAATAATATGTAGTTGAAAAATAAATGTTTTACTATTATTTCATCATGAACTTCGAAACTATGGCTGACAAAATAAACTTTAAAAGTAAAAATAGAGAAGTTTAAGCCCTTCTAAATAAAATCTAAATTTTGATTTGTTAATACTAATTAATGAGCTATAATGCTATATTTTTCAGTCTATAGTTTCATAAATAAGTTATGATTAAGATTAAATTTTGATACATTTGTTGACCCAAAGTTTATTGTGTACAATGCTCTAATAAAGGTCACGACGATTATGGCAAAGCATGGGAGGACTTCTGCTTTCTATTAATGAGTTCTCGCTACTTTGGATTTTTCTTAATTAACTATGTGCTTTATCGGTTGTTTATGGACTGAAAATAAAATATATTCAAAGGATCTATTTGAAATTAGTGTTATTGAGTGCTAGAATATACACAGTGATAGAGTTGGAAATTTTTCTTCTTAGCCTTGTATGAATATGCATCACACAAAATGAACACTAGAATTTTATGTGGAAAACCATTGAAAAGGGAAAAACTATGGGGCAACGTCTAGTTTAAATGATTCCACAAGTGTTTGGTTAGATTACAAGTGGCTGACTCATCCCTGAGATTGAAGAGGATCAAATTACAATAATCGACTGTCGGGGTTAAATTTAATTACAAACGGATATCAGAAATCCGGTGACATTTGGTAGTCGGGCGAAAATCCGTCTTCAATTGACGGTCAGACATAAATCCAGCGTCAGTCAGCTATCGAGCAGAACTCCGGCTTCAGACGGAGGTCAAACAGAACTCCAGCATCAGTCAG